CCTGATAAAATGTCCAGAAGCAACCATTGAAGCGGACTTTTTATACGAATTGTCAAGAACACTTACTGTACTTCCACCTGGTTATCAGTCACGTTGCTTAACGAATGATTTGAATCTGCTACGCAATCGTATACAGGCGCAAGTTGGGCTCCCCGAGCAGAGTACAACGTTCTCATTCAGTACCAAGGAGGAAATACCTGGAATGACACAGGATGCGGAAGCCAAGAAGATGCGGAGTGTTGAGTACAACCCGCTTGGTCCGAGCAAATCTACACCGATCAGATTGCTTTCTGGAAAATCAATTATAGTGAAAGATAAGGTAAACAATGATTCTGTAGAAAAGTAAGGCTGTTGATTGACTACAGGACATGCTTCAAGTGAAAAATTGTTGTGCTCACTGAAATGTGCCATGAGGGTTTCAATACGGGTTGAAGGTGACGGATTAATTCCTAAAGAAGTGTTAAATTTGTTTAATAGAATAAAAATTCGAACGCAAACATACGAATCAAATTAGGCAAACATACGAATCAACATACGAATCAAACATACGAATCAATTTGTTGGAGTCGCGTACTGTAAGAATAAAAGTAGTAGAGATGTAGAAAAGTGGTGCTTCGGCGAGAGGTCGCTTCGGTCAGAAGACGACATGTCCTTTTTTGTTACATTTTGCCGTAAAAGACCAATGACTTACAAATTTGCAAATCGAAATGAACCAAAAAAAAGCAGTACATGCTGGTCTAGAAGATTCCGGAAATTTCCTGTTTTTCTGAATTCTTTCCCACCGAAAGCAATTTTTTTTACAGCAGGAAGAAGAAATTGTTGTAAATGGCGAAGAGGGCGAAGAAGTTATAATCACTGGTGTAAATGGCTGCGTTATTCGTGTTCCTTTTAAAGCATCCTCTGTGCATGTCAAATCGGCCAACTGTACAACGCTTATCTTCGCCCCGGTCAAAACATCAGTACTTGTTCGCGATTGTGTGAGCTTAACAATTGCAGTTGCCGCACAGCAAGTACGAATTCATAACAGTCATCGCGTTCTGCTGTATGTTGAAGTGCGTTGCATTTTTTTATGCGTTTTTGCATTTATGTAAATTGCAAAAACGCATATTGGGAAGAGGCTGTCTG